CTGCTGAACCTAGTAAGAGAATGCGTCTCACACCTCTTGCTGATGCTAGCAATCCTATTATGGCTCAGGTTCTTTCTTGCTTTCTTTAAATTATTCTTCATGAAATGACAAAAATGGAATTTAATTGTATTGAATGTAGCCAATAAAGAACCATGAACTGCACTCTGAATTTCTCTCTAATGGCTATATCTTAACAGTTAGTTTGGTCAACAATCCATTATATCACATACCAGGTAGCCTTGGCGGCAAATAGAGGAAGCTGCATAGTAGTTGAAATATTTGATATATATCAACTGTAGATGTATAAAAAATTAAGTTGTATGCAAATAAAAATAAAATGCACAGGAGGATGAAGAATTTTTTAATAAAAATTTAACCATGTAAAGTAGTATACTGAGGTATGGTTAAATTTTTAACATGGTTCATGATAGCTGAACTACCCAATGAAGAAGGATCTCTTAATAGTCTTAGTGTGTCTTTACTATAATATATTATATATAAACACTTTTTATTCAAACTCTTGCAGGCTGCTTTCCTGTCTGCCTTGGCAGGGCCAGAAGTTGCACAAGCTGCTGCTCAAGCTGCATTGACAACTCTGTCTGAGGTTTACAAAGCAACTAGAATAAGTTATCGGTCATTTCCGAGGAATGCATTGCTGCAAGGTAAGAACAAAAACTCTACATTCAAATTTAACACAGCTTAATGTTTTAGAGTATTGTAAGAAAGTTTCGAAAATCTGAAAATTTTGAAAGTGTTTGCAATGGTTGCTCCATCAAACGAAAAGTTCAGAACTTGCTCGATGAGATTGTTTCTTTAAGCTTTTATTGGAGACGAGGAGAGTTTCCACAATTAGCGGGATAGAATTAAATGTTTGTTATTTTAACATTTTAATTTATTATTTTTAAAATAATTATACATGAGAAATACGTTACCTGTTTTGTGTTTTGTACTTCATTTCTTCGTACCATATTGCACTACTGATTTCTGATGTAACTTTGTGACTTATCTTTTGTAAACATCTCCATCGGTGCACCGAATTAGAAATAATTCTACGTTACCTGTTTTGTGTTTCGAACTCAATTCTTCAAACCAGATTGCACTACTGATTTCTGAATGTAACTTTGTGACTGATCTTTTGAAACATCTCCATCAGTGCACCAAATTTGTTACTTCCTCTTCTCGGTGGTTGATTTTCTGAATAACTGCAGAAGAACATTATATACTAATAGGAATTTCATATATTTAGCAGTTAGTTTCTTCTATTTTCTAATGTAATTATTATGTTTTATGTGATTCCATGAATTGAAAGTGGAGAAAATAGTTTTTAAACTCAATTTCTTAGTAGAATTGTTGCTTTATATTTTATGCAGATGCCGGTATCACATCAAACGGTGGTAATACTTCAGATTCATTTCAAGGATCGCGATTGCATGCAAATATACAGCTTGAGAAGGAAGAGTTAGATGTGGAAAAAGGAATTTCCGAGATTATAAAAGTTCAGGTCTGTCACATGTCAAGGTTTAATTTGATGGCGTCTGCATTTCCCGAGTTTAAAATTCCTTGCTAAATATTGGATATTCTGTTTTGTAGATGAAAAATATCCAAGACAAGCTTCTTCATTTTGAAGATTTAGATCTTCTGATGGAAAAAGAAAGCCAGCAGCTGGAGCAAATTAAAAGCATGTTTTTTCTTGATCAGCTTACTCTTTTATTTCATAAATCATCGGCACCAAAATCCGGAGAATGCCCAGAAGGCAATTATGTAAAGATGAACTGTGACTGAAAAGTCTTAATTAGCTACTGATATTTAGGCTTAGCGAATGTATTCAATTTTCCATTTCAATTAACATGCCCTCCATTTGCTTTTGCTGTTGGACTGTTTGTTCAATATTTATACAACTCTTGATGTAGAGCGTCTTTTTAATTTTTGTAACCAATTGTACATGCATTTCTAGGGTAATGGATATGTTGATAAAATGTAGGAAATGAAAAGAAAAGAAAAAATAAAGTGAAAAGTTGAGGAGATAAAATTATCAATTTCTCCCTTCATTTTTGGTTGTGAAGAAAAGTAAAAGAAAAATGTGGAGAAAAAAAAAAGTATAATGAAAATGTGTGATTATAAAAGAAAATTACCCTTTTTCTAACTATTGAGAAGAGAAAATAAAGAGGAAAAAAATTGTAGTACCAAGTAAAAAGTTTCTCACCATATGATAGGTGGAGAGAAAATAATAGAGAAGTTGTTGTTCGTTAGGACATAATCTTAAGGATCTATGAGGATAAAACTGAAGTATTTGTTTATAGAAGTAAAGTTTAGGAGGTTAAGTCTTTTTTTTGATTTTTTAAAATGCTAGTTTTGAGATTGAAATCTAATGTCATTGATTGTTAAATTATCTTGATACATATTTAGCTTTAGGGTACATAGTTTTATGTCATATACGTGTATGATAAATGTGCACTTTTAATGATAATATTATTTTTAAAAATACTAGTAACATTATTTAATATATTTCTTAAAACATTTTATTATCTCGTAAAATTCATTAATAAATTGTAACTAAAAGAATTGCAAATCAGACATGTGAGATAGGAACCCGACCACACGATTGCTACCGAACGCTTGATTAATAAGCATATTCAATGAAGGTTACACATATAAGACATGAAGGAAAGGAGTATTCCATTATGTTCAGAAAGGTAGATAATTTTGAAAGGAAATGTCATTTTGTTCAGACATGGTCGCCACCAAGATATTACACTGATTCAACAAATTTGAAGCAAATATCTTGGTATTTAAAATACCAGTCTGATCTATGAATCCAAAAAAATACCAGTCTGATCTAGCATTTCTAGCTTAAGAACAATGCCAGGAAAAGATGAAGGGCTGTGAGAAAAATTCTCCCTCTTCACGACCATTTTCGTCATATGAACTTAAATGATGCAACTACCTGCAGAAACCAAGTGGAAGCTGAATTAATTTCCATACAAAACTTAGAATCCACTTCAACGACCAAGGCTGCATTATGGCCTAAGTTAGATATCTTGGATCATCATAACCTTGTTCTGTCAAATAACAAAAAATAATTCACCTTCTGAATTTGTGAAGCATACTTGTCCGTTTCCTCTTCCAAAAACTGCACGAAATAAATAGAATTAGGCTGAACTTACACTCGGATGATGCAGTATATCTTGCGATGAGGCCACAAACCTGTCCTGTCACCGTATATAGCCTATTATACCAACCATTTGATGCCATCCCAATAGCTGAATATAAATATCTACGACTCTCTCCAGGATTTTGCAGCGAATACTCGATGTAATAAATCCCTGAACCATTGTTTGAATTAAATTAAGCACTGAAACTTCCATATTTCCCAAGATTTTAGCATTTGGGGAAGTCTTTCTCTGTCTTATTAAACACATCTTAGGAGTATGAGTAGGAATCTAAAACATATTTACATTTGATACGTCATAGTTTAGATCATTTATGGACATTTTATTTAAATTTCCTGTTGTCAGCATGAGTGGTATTAAGAGTGGTTTCTACTTTCTACACATTTTCATGTTTAGAGTATACTTAATTAAGAAAGAAGTAAACAGTTTTACAACATGAATACTTGCCTTACAATCTTATAACCTATACCATAACGAAGGTATGAGTAGTCACCTTTAGATGATTTACAATCTATGAGTTTAGCAGCCACACCTGGGGGTCTTTGCCAGCTTCTGTCAAGCCCACTAACCTGTTGAATTCATTTTAAGCAAATAGGGAAAATTTTTAGCATAAGTAGGAACAGAAAGAAAGAGAACCTTCAAATAATAGTTCAATCTAATCATGGAATCACACTAGAGTCTGAGCAAACTCGTCAACTTTGCCAAAGGATTCCATCCTAGTGAAATCCGGTCCCAGCCCTGTGATCACAACGCTCACTGAAGCAACAAACTGTTAGCAATTAACTTTGTACAGTTAAATAATAATTGATGAAGAAACAAATAATCAGAAATACAAATTGACAAAAAGTAGACTCTGAGAATACCATTGGAATTGGACGCATCTGTTGGGTAGAAAGCAGTTACCGATTTCAAGCCATTAGATTCTCCTGTTCCTACTTGCCACTCTGATCCAGCCACAAAAACACAAGTATACAATTTAAGCAACTGAAATTGAATGATGGTTTTACTTCAAAACTTGCAATTCAATTCACCTTGGGGAATCTCAATCTTGAACTTGTTCTCATCGTCAGTGTAGATACGAACATCCTCAGGCACATCTGGGATTCAAAACACACATCTTGAAATTGAATGTACGATTTTTAGGATTGAATCAGGATCAAACTCATAAATTAAAAGATAGTATCAAGCCTATTCCAGTGGTTATTGTAGTTGGATCTAGACCACCCATTACCAATTCATTATCAGACCATATCCACATATGCTTAATCATTGAAGTTAAGAGCGCTAGATATCTCATATCACTATATGATTAAAAAAGTGTATATAAGTGAGATATAGTCCTTATCTTATGAATTAACTTTTAAGAATGAGTTATAAGACAAAGTTAGAGTACAAGGAAACATCATTTATTTGTAAATCCATAATAGCAATTACCATTGAGTGCCAATGAATTTGAGACAGTAGGTGGGACTGCAAATGCAGCTACTGCTACTGCGGCGTGAAGAAAAAGTTGTCTCCTATTAACCGCGCGTCCTTCTTGGATGGAAGAACTGAAACATAATAACCATGTTGTTTGTGCATGCATGAAAGATGAGAAATGATAGGAATTGAGAAGCATAAAGTCATAGTTGCAATCTTACAGTGAACATGGTGTTGTTTTATGATGCTCCAAATGGAAGGTTATGGGAGGTGGGGGACCTGAAGAAAAACCTCAGCGAAATCAAACACTGATATTGAAGAACATGAGAAATGAGGTTATTGGGAGGACCTTTGTCGGCCTTAGAGGCTGTGAAGTTGCAAAGTGTTGGTCGCATTCGCATATGCACACAACAAATGGACGCCATTCCTTTCAGATCAGCTTCTCTTTCTCTGCCTCCATTTCTATTTTTTTAAGTTAATTCTATTCCATACATTTTTCGGTATTTTTTCCATAGGAGTTTTAAAATAAATTATGACTCAATTTTTATTGGTTGAGTCTTATGACAATACACTTTCTTTTAACTTGCAAAAAGAAATTAATTACACTTTTTTTTTAATTTAATTCATCACAATTCCTTGATGACTTTAGCTTTCATTTTTTTTATATTTTAAAAATGTTTTTCAACTATATTCTTTAGGCAAGATATATTTTTAAGATGTTAGAGTGTATTTAGATGGAGATTTTAATAGAGTAATTTAATTTTTTTAAAATAGCAAATACTTTGAGGTAAAATGTTTTGTTTGAATAAAAAAATTACAAAGAATTTGAAATTTAAATATTTATAAATTTTTTTAATATTGTAAAATCTTAAATCCTCCTAAAAAGTAAGAATCTGAAGAAATTTTTTTCCTCCTATCTTCCTTTTCTCACTTCTAAAATTGATATAAAAAAAAAGTCAATAATTCTTTTATTTATTGAATATTTAAATTTATTTTAAATTTATTAAATATTATCTAATATTAATTCTTTAGAATTATTAAATATTTAAAAATTGACTAAATTTTAGTTTTGTAAAATTTAATCTTAAAATTTTAGTATATATATATAAATCAATTTTACTCATGATGAAATTTAAATTATTTTATCTAAATTAAGAATTTAAGATTTAAAATTTAAAATTAACATATTTAAACAAAATATTTAAGGAACAATTTCAAAACTCTTAATTTCTAAAATTCTTGACTTCCGTTAGTAATTTGACATTTTAACATATTTATGTTTTACAAATAACAAATATTTGAGATTTAAAATAAAGTATCTACATAATTTTTTTATTGAAATATTAATATGGAATAAGAACACTAAAATATATTAAAACAAAATTGAGTATATAACTTAAAAAAAAATGAATTATATCGATACTCTATAAAGTTTTAAAAGAAATTGACACCTGCTGTCAAAAAAAAATATGAATACATCTTTCATTTTTTTAATCGTATATAAAATCGCCTCAATTTATATGATAAAATAATACTGGATATTCTTTTCATCTCCTTTCCGAATGGTTTTTACTTTAAAATTTAAATATAACTAATTTTCAAATTTGAATTTTATTAATTTAAGGAGAGTGAAAGTGAAAATAGCAGCGATGATAGGAGAACAATCATAGTAGTGCTGCTTTTGATGGTGGTGGCATTGGTAGCAATGTTGGTGGAAGCCCATGTGTTATGGTGGTTGTGATAGGAAAAGTCATGTCATGAACTATAGAACCTGTAGTCTATATTTTGTGTCCGAATTAAATGTGAGTCATTTTAACTTTGTTCTATAAAACTTGTCTCATAAATAGATTTAGGCTGCGCTAACTTGACCACTAGGGTTAGCCTAGTAGTTAGGTGAGGAGGGGTTAAAGTAATTAGAAGCATGAGGACCTAGGTTTAATCTTCATTGTGACCATCTTTGTAATCTTTCTTATCTTTACAAAAAAAAAAGGTTGCGCTAACTTGGTCCAAACGAATCCTTATGTAGTATCAATGACATTATTGTGTATGAATTACAATTTTACTCAAATCATATAGGTACTGCAAAAAATATTTGTAATTGGTAAATACCAACACAATGAGAATGGGTTCATGGATAAAGTATAACTTAAAAATTGGTATAAATGTAAGTATTATTTTTTTTCATCGAAATTATAGTAATGGTATTAGATTTTGAACTTAATACACTATTTATTTTAATTTATCCTTCACTATTGAGTCGACTATGGTGATATGATACAATATAACTACTTAATAGGTCTCTACATTTAATACAACTCAACGATTTAGCAACGAAAAACATAACAATCATCTAACCTAGGATCTTCATGTAAGTAGTACATGGATATTCATGCAACATTATATATGTATAAGAGTAAATAATTGAAAACATAAAAATCCCTTAGTGGGATTACAACATAATCGTGTAGACATACCTACAAATATCAAACTACAAAATATAAAAGTCCTAAGTTGTCGATCAAGTAACAACTAGTTATTTAAGAACAACCTCCATCAAAATAAGTCATTACCAACATGACACAACATCATGCTCGTCTTCTGACCTAATCCTATCATACTTCCATAATAATATGATCATTGCAATTTAACAACATGAAAAAATAAGGATAAGCTTGTATGCAAAGAAAACAACATAATGTATAGAAGTCATATACTAGCCATATAAGTGTCTTCATAACATGAACACAACTTCACAACTTGTTGTGTCTAAAATGCACTTAAAGGCAATCATACCTTATCGTAGTAGTAAAATAATGGACAAAGTCCAGATATCGAACCCAGAGAGTCGGATTCAAACAATTACCAACTTATTCTTGATTTTTAAACAATTTGAAGAAATAGAAATTGAATTGAAGGGAATAGTGATTAAGAACAAATATTAGAAAAATTGTTGTTGAAATTCAGAGATAAAAGTTCAAGAGTTACGACTTATTGGTCTCGATCCCTAAAAATAAAATTCATAAATTAATAAGTAATGTTATCCATTTTACTTATGAAATTGTTAACAACCCTATAGTTCCAAAAAGTTAACGGTCTTCATCTTAAGAAAAATCCAAATTGATTATAAGAGTTTTATTATAAAAACAAAGTAGATGCGCGTAGAAACAAATTAAATAATTAATCTAATTAGTAATTAAGAAAACAACTTGATCATGTCAATTTTTAGAATTCAAATATTTTAGGTTTTAGTTAATTAAAAGAGTTTGATCATGCACTTCTAATGAACTAAGATAATAAATACTTTTCTAAAATAATTCAAAAATTAACAAACAATTCATGAACTCATCATTGGGAGTTCACAAGGAACAATTACATCACAATCCTATAATAAGAGAACTAGCCACACATTCTGCTAAAACCCAATAAACAAAAGAAAAGAATTAATCGTGATAAGAAAAATCCTTCTCCGAAGGTTTGGCCTTTAGTCTTTTACAGAATTTCAATAACAAATAATAGAGAAAAGAAATTATAAGAGAAACTAAAACTAAAAATGAGTGAAAACTAGACAAAAAATGGATAAAAAAACAATGTGTCTATACATCTCTATTTATAGTCAAAAAATCAGGGACAAATTTCTAAGCACGATCGTGCTTATGACATTCTCTAGTGTAGAATAGAGGGAGCACGAGCATGCTTAGTTAGCTAAGCACGACTATGCATATTAGTAAGAATGGTTGTGCTTCACAACACATGGAGGGAGACACCAACAACGTGCTTTATTGGTCAACCATAGTCATGTTTGTTGGTAAGCACGATCGTGCTTCTTGACATCAACGTGTTTCTACTTGATCTACTATTTAATTGCACACATTTCACTTAAATTTGACATTTTCCTTTTTCCGCACACTTAATGAAAAAAAAGAGAGTAAATTATTGCCAAAGAAATAATAATAACTTAAGACAAAACATCAATGAATAATATCCTAAAATGTAGCACTTTGATGGTTTAACACAACTCCATAACTTTGCTACACAACATTCAACAATACATATAATTTTCAACAAATTTACCACTTTGCAACATAGCAGCACATTATATAGCTTATCAACATATTTGTACAACATCTTAACAACATAATAGCTTTATGCATTGTCATATATTTCAACTAAAAAATTTCTTACAACACAGGTGAGCCTTAAGGTCAAACCTATCATTTGTAGGCCATACAACACAACATTTGGATATGAATCCATTTTCAACACAACATTGATTTCTCAAACTTTGCCACCTAAATTAAGAAAGTCAAGTATCACTGTCAAGAATAGAACAACAGGTGCAGGTCTATCACGACACTAGTATGCATCAACTAAGTATATATGTAATTAAATTGTCAACTACCCTCCAAATGCTATGCATTTTTTTAATAATCAATTAAGGATTTTACCCATCAACTTCATACCTTATTCGATTTGGTCACTTATAAATTGATATGACTTGACCTTGCCCCATATGATATGAACTAAGAACTTAAAAGAGAAACAACACTCCACTTCAAGGGCCAACTATCTCATGAAAGGTTTTTTAACATTGGGTCCTTAGAGTACCACAACGCATATTCACACAGTGAGATATTTCAACTTTAAAAAAACAACACTCTCTCCTCTAGTTCTAAGTTTACAACACAGCTTAACTACATGCATCATGCACATCACAACACAATTCAGCTCAACACAACACCTCAAAATATTCAACACAACTTACATAACACTTGGAATATATCCAATTTTAACTTAAATAACTTAACATACTTTTATTTTCATCTTTCTACAGCATGACTCATAAATCATAGCAACATAATACAACATATCTTTATAATAGATCAACTTTCAACTTCAACATAGAGATTTAAAACTTAAAACAAAAGAATCCAAGGAAAATAGAATCCTTGTTGGGTGATTTAAGCTCTCCGGAACTCCTCGCTAAGTGACATTACTCTCGCTTAGTGAAGAAAGCTCTTTGTGACTTTCATCGTTGGGCGTGCTTTTGGCTCATCGAGCAACCAAACTCCTTTAGAGCTTGTCGTTGGGTGGCTAAGAGTTCGCTAAGTGATTAGAAACCCCATGTGGGTCTTTTTGTTGGGAAACTATATGTAATTAGGTGATTAGGATCTTTTATTGGTCCTTTCGTTGGGCGTGATATGTCTTATTGGACATGTTTAGCCATATAATCATTTCCTTGTTGGGTGGCACTTCTATCGCTGAGCAAGACTATGATTCTGAGCAGTTGTTCTTTAGCTCAAGAATGCGCATTGGGTACCATAAACTCTCATTGGGCGAGAATAGGGTTCTCACCCACAAAAATCTAACTTCTCACTTAGAATCCTTTCCACATACTTCATAAATCATGCATGCAACTCAAAATTCATCATTTACTTGCGTCATACAACTTATAAATTGAAAGATTTATATCATGCAATAATAGTA